TGATCTATGGGGTGGGAGTGGGGTCAATCCAATGAATACGGAAATTTCGTCGAAACACGATTCGGTCGAAAAAGAAAATTAAATCTCGTGGCTCGAGAACATCACCTGAGAACCCAAATTTTTGAACAAAGGTTCCACTATATTAAGGTAATAGGTGTGTAAAATTGTATTGTCTAATTCCATCATTAAGCAATTCAACGGATGTGTTGTGTTCAATTTTTGGGACTCGGCCCTGATCAGGGCCGTCTGCCCCCCGATGGGTTAAAACGGACAGATTTCGGGCGTGCGTCTGACGTTGTGGTGCGTCCCTGGTGTAAAAACAATGTTGGGCTTTCGCGATCTACCGTAATCGAAGATTACCCGGTGCCGCCTCCACTCCTGGGCTTGAATCGCATGATGTAGTCTTTGTCTGGAGAGATCGCGCACGTATGCTACCATGGAAACTGTGGCAAAAGCCTGATGCTACATACGAGAAGCGAGTAGGTTTGGCACAGTAGCGAGGTACTAAGTTAGTGACTGGTTTGCACCGAGGTCGAATCATAGGATTCGAAAAGGGACAATCAATAGGATTGACAGACAGACCCGGACCAAATGGGGTACCGAGCTATGGTGCAAATGAGAGAGCCACCAAACTACAGGTGCGATCGCTTTCCGGGAAAGCGGAAGACAAAGGCCACAAACATGCGAGCGCAGGTGTGGGAAAAATAAAAAATCAAAATCAAAAATGCAAAAAAACAAAAGAAAGAAAAAGAAAATTGAAAAAAGAAAAGAAAGTTCCCAGGAGCGAAAGCTGGGCGTTCGATCAGAAGGGAAAAATAAAGGTGGAGGAAGGGAAGTGCCTGAGAAAGCAAGCGAAAGGAGGGAAAGGAAAGAGAGGGAAAAAGACAAAGTGGAAAGGGAAAAACGGAGAAGGGAGGAGGAAGGAAGAAGGGAGAATAGGAGGAGAGTAGTAGATGGGATTGTGTATCTAAACAAGGTTTGGTATGAGTTGAGAAGCAGCGCGAGCTGCAGTCACTTCAGACTGAGTAGCCAAGGCAAGTTGGTCAATTGCCCGGTTTTGTTGCTCCGAAAGGTGTGCGACATTGCGAAGGTAAAGGAAAAAGGAATCAGAGCGCCAGCGCAAGAGAAATTTGATCTGGATAGCGTTGATTCCCGCTGCGTGAAGGATCACTGCCGCCCCAGCTCGAAGAGAGTGGGACGTATATTTGTGATGTCGCTGAAGATCGCGATCAGTCAGGTTGTAAGTCTTCTTGGCCAAGGTCCAAAGGGTGGAAGCAATGACTTTGCTGTGGATGAAAAACTTTTCACCAAAGGATCCTTTGTACACTGCAAGTGGGATATCGGTCTTATCCAGACCGACAATCCGTGCAAATCGGCTGACAATGTTATGGAGACTCCGCAGAGCG